AAAAAAGACTTGAATTGAATTGATTATGCACCGTCCAAAATACACTCAGTTTTTAAGTAATAATGAAGAACATGATATTAGTAAATTAAGAGGAGAAAAATTTAATATTTTACAAGGATTATTTATACAACCATTTTTGCATTATACAGAAGTATTAGTTATAGTTACAGATATTAATATATCAGTTGTAGATATTTCAGGAAATGAATTTATTATTTTTCCACCATTTATTCATCAAATAGATAATATTCAAGTAACAAAAGGATGTTTTATTAAAGACACAAATTATTTTTATCTTATTTCAACACAAACGTTATATTGTTTTGAAGTAGTAAAAAGAGATCCATCATCTCTTCCTCTTTCAGTGTATCGACCTTCAACAACATTTTATTTGTATCCAAAACTTATTAATAAAATTGAATTTGCAAAAGAAATTATTGGGATTTTTCCTTTTGATCAAAGTGTACTTATATCATTTATTGATAATACATTTACATTATCAACACAACCAAATTCTGGATTTAAAATACAAAATGGTCAAATGGATATGACTGTAGAAGATATTGATGTTACTTCTTTAATTATTTCATCAGAATGTACATCTATGATTTATAGAAGAAATGATATGACAATAGTTTTTGCTGGACTTGTAGAAGGAAGTTCTCTTCCAATTATTAAATCAACGTTCATTTTACCAACAAATATTAAAAGTTATATTATTAGTGAAACATATTATTTTGCATTAATAGATGAAGACAATAAAATTCATATTTATCAATATTCTCCATTGAATTTTACATGTCATAAAGTTAAAATAATACAAAAGTCTATATATTGTAATATTGACAATAATACATTTACACCTAAAATTCAATTTCTTCCAAATAACAATCTTATTATTCAATGTAATGGATTATCTACAATAATTACACCAAATGGAATTGTTATTAATTCAATTGAAGAAGAAGGAAATTATCTTATTGATTCAAATTGTTGTAGATTATTTAAAATACCATTATTTCATTCTCAATTAATTATTAATGAAACAAAATTAATGAACACTATAGAAATGAATGACCTTGCTATTCAATATACTTCTACAACAATTAATATTATAACAAATACAATTCATTCAACAAAAAAAGTTTATTCTTTTATTATTCCACAAGAATTATTATCTAAATATTTTTATTCTATTCAATCTCTTTGTGTTTATCCTATTAATGATACTTATCTCTTTATTTTAAAACAACCTCATTTACTTGTTTTATTTGATTCTATTTCTTCTATTCAAGCAGTAATTCCAATTGATCTTTGTATTTTAAATAATAGTATTTCATGGGAATTTGATAAAGGGACTTTAATATTATTTCAATTATCATCATCTTTACTTCATATTTTAGCTTATAAATATCCTAATTTTACTTTACCAATTTATGATTCTATTGAAATTATTCCTCCTTTAGAAAATATTCAAATAACTAAAAAACACATTAAATCATCTTCTACACAAAATTTAAAATCAAATCAATTTATTGATTTATCTAACTCAATTAATTCTTTTGGTATTCTTTTAACGAATATTAAAGAAAGTTTTGTATATACATTAATTGGTTTTCCTAATCAAATAGGATTATTGACTTGGAAAATTGGTTATAAAAATAATTTATTCACATTTCAATTAATTAAATCATCTTCACTAATTCGTAATGATTCTATTGACCTTTGTTCATCAATTCCAATTCAATTTACATCATCATTTTCTTCATCTGATTATTCTTCTCCAACAACAACAATTATCTTATGGTCAAATTTTGTTGTTACTTTAACCAAATCAGATTCTAAAGACCCATGTGAAATTATAAATGATAGTGTTCATTCAATATCAATTCCTTTCAAAAATATCTTATTAGTACAACAAACTGGAAATGTAATTATTCGTCATTTAGATTCACTCTTTTATACATTTACTATTCCTGTTAAACTTTCTTTACTCATAACATCTCCTCCTTATTTAACTGTTCTTTCACCTGACTTTCCAACCTTACAATCTCAAATACAATTTAGTCGTCCTTTTTCACTTAAAAGAGGTCTTTCCATTCTATCAGACTCAACTGAATTTTCAAATTCAACTTCACTTATTAGTCCAAGTCTTCCTTCTCCAAGTTCTCTTTCAACTTCAATAACACCATCAATAATTCAAGGACTTATTAATGAAAATGAAATTGTTCAGCCATATAATAATTCTCCTGGACTTATTCCATTAACAACAAAAGATATTACAATACCATTATGTGAAGGATTAAAAGAATATAATTATCTTGGAGAAATTATGTTAGTAGAATTAACAAATGGAAAAGGAATTAAAGAGATAGAAGAAGAATTTGGAAATGATACACAAATATGGGAAAATGAATTAGCAAAATGTATGTGTAAAGTAACAGAAGGATATCATGATAAGAAAATTGGATATACAACATATGAAACAGTTGTAAATTATATTTCAAGAAATGAAAATTCAAGAAAAGTTATTTTAAATGCATCAACATTAATAAAAAATGAATATTGGAATGAATTATTTGAAATTGTAGATTCACCTATTGTTATATTTATTGATTGTTTAGAAAAAGAAGAATATGAAGATGCTATTAAATGTTTATTAATTATTATAGAATGTTATAATAAACCAGTAGCATTACAATATTCTATTGAATTAATTCAGACATTATTTGAAAAAAATACACAACTTCAGTTAATACCAGAAATAGTATCTATCTTTTTTAAAGACATAAATATTATTGTATCAACAGAAGAAAGTGCTATTAGTAATTATTTATTTGAGTTAATTAAAAGATGTATTTATCAATTATTAGAAAGAAATTCTTTTGAAATCCTTTATAAATTCTGTGAAAAAGATAATCCATTCTTAATTAAATGTTTTGATGTTGATTCTCCACCTGAAATAGATATTCTAGATGGTTTAAAAAAAGCACAATATTTTGTTAAATTACATTCTCCTCAACGTGTTTTATCATTCGGTAAAATCTTACTTGAAAATAAACATTATACTCAAACTTTATTATTTGGTATTTCATCTAAATTAAAGGCATTACTTATATTTGACCAATCATATTATTATCTTGAATTACTTAGTAATGAATTTCAATATACGAATCTTGAACTTGCTGAATTACTAAAAAAATATCGAGACATTTCACAAAATATTCAACCGTCTTTATTATCTTTATAACAATTATTTGTTATTTCTTATTCACTTATTTATATTTTATATCTTTTTATAAAATAAAATAAAACATTAACAATAAATGAATGTGTTATTTTCCTTTTTTTTT